CCAAACCAGCCAAGATGCCATAAAGAAGAGGGGCCCACAGGCCAATATCTGTCATGAACACAGATGGAAAAGTCCTCAACAAAATATCAGCAAACTTAACCCAATACAGTAAGAGGACCATATGCTATGATAAGTGGGATTTATTCCAGGGATGAATCAAAATAATACACCACATTAACAAAATTAAGGATAAAAAGCATATGACTTCTCAACAGACACAGAAAAAATATGTGACAAAATTCAACATCCATTTTGATAAAAGCTCTCAACAAAGCAGGTACGGAGAGAACGTAACTCAACATAAGAAAAGCCATATATGACAAGCCACATCATACTCGATGGTGAACGCTGAAAGCTGAAAGCTTTTCCTCTATGACCAGCAACAAGGCAAGGATACCTACTCTTGCCACTTTTATTCAACATACAATTGGCCCTTGAACAACGCAGGGGTTAGGGGTGCCAAACCCCTGTGCAGTCGAAAATCTGAGTATAACTTCTGACTCCCCCAAGATGTAACTACTAATAGCCTACTGTTGCCTGGAAGCCTTACCAATAACATAAAAAAGTCAATGAACACTACTTTGTATGTTAGATGTATTAAATACTGAATTCATACAGCAAAGTAAGCTAGAAAAAAAATGTTATTAGGAAAATCCTAAAGGAAAATACATTTACAGCATTGTCTGTATTTATTGAAAAAAAATTCACGTATTAAGTGGACCACACAGTTCAAACCCATGTTGGCCAAGGGTCAACTGTAGTATTGGAAGTCCTTGCCATAGCAATTACACAAGAAAAATAAATAAAAGGCATCCAGATTGGAAAGGAAGAACTAAAATGGCCACTATTTTCAGATGACATGGTATTTTATAAAGAAAACCCTAAAGACGACACCAAAAACTACTAGAATAACAAATTCAGTATAAGTTGCAGGATAAAAAATACACAAAAATCTGTTGCATTCTGATACCCTAATAATGAACTATCAGAAAAATAAATTTAAAAAACAATCACATTTTGGGGTGCCTGGGTGGCTCAGTCAGTTAGGCATCCAACTCGACTTTGGCTCCAGTCATGATTCACAGTGGAACTGAGCCCTGTGTTGGGCTCTGCGCTGTGGCGTGGGAGCTGTGCTTGGGACTCTCTCCCTCTCTCTCTGTCCCTCCCCCGCTTGTGCGTGCGTGTGTGTGCGTGCGCGTGCGCACGCACACACACACTCTCAAAATAAACTTAAAAAACAAAACAACAATCACATTTACAATTGCATAAAAAAAAAATACTTAGAGATAAATTTAACCAAGGAGGTGAAAGACCTGTATACAGAAAACTATAAGCCGTTAAGGAAAAAAAAACTGAAGACAACACAAATAAATGGAAAGACATTCGTGCTCAGGGGTTAGAAGAACAGTGTTAAAATGTCTACACTACCCAAACCATCTACACATTCAATACAATTCCTATCAAAATTCCTATCACATTTTTCACGTAAGACAATCTTTAAAATTTGGAGTCACAAAAGGCTCTGAACAGCAAAGCAATCTTGATAAAGAACAAAGCTGGAGGCATCATGCTCCCTGGTTTCAAACTCTATTACAAAGCTATAATGATTATTGGCATCCTGGCATAAAAACAAACACACAGATCAACCGAACAGAAGAGAGAGCCCAGAAATAAACCCACACATATGTGGTCCGGTACCTTATGACAAAGGAGCCAAGAATATCCTAGGGGGAAAGGACAATTTCTTTAATAAATGGTGTTGGGAAAACTGGACAGCCACATGCAAAAGAATGAAAGTGCACCACTATCTTATAACATACACAAAAATGAACTCAAAATGGATTAAAGACGTGAATGGAAGACCTGGAACCATAAAACTCTTAGCAGAAAACATAAGCGACAAGCTGCTTGACGTAGGTCCTGGCTTTGGATCTGACTCCAAAAGCAAAGGCAACAAAAGCAACAATAAAATAAGCAAAACTACACCGAACTAAACAGCCTGTGCCCAGCAAAGAAAACCACCACCACCACCAACAACAACAAAAAAACAGGCAACCTACTGCATGGGAGCAAAGATTTGCACATCACATACCTGATAAAAGGTTAATACCTAAAATATATAAAGAACACATACAACTGAATAACAAAGCAACCAAACAATGTGGTTAAAAAATGGAATTATCCAAATAGATATTTATCCAGAGAAGACATACCGAGAGCCAACAGGTACATGAAAAGATGCTCAACATCAGTAACCATCAGGAAAGTACAAATCAAAACAGTGAGATCTCACCTCACACCAGTTTAGAAGGGCTCGTATCAAAAAGACGAGAAATAACAAACTTTGGCAAGAGTGTGGAGAAAATGGAACCCTGACGCACTGTTGGTAGGAACATAAGTTGGCAGAGCCACTATGGGAAAAAACACTATGAAGGTTATTCAAAAAATTAAAAATAGAACTACTCTACGACCCAGCAGTTTCTCTTCTGGCTATTTATCAACAAAACAAAACAAAACAAAACAAAACAAAACAAAAACACCTATTTGAAAAGATAAGTGAACCCCCATATTCATTGCAGCATTATTTACAATAGCTAAGTATGAAAACAGCCTATGTGTCCAGGGAGGGATGATTCAAGAAAAAAGATGTGGTGTATCTATATAAAATGAAATACTATTCACCCATAATAATGAAATCTTTCCATTTGCAAAAACAGGGATGGACCCTGAGGGCCTTATGTTTAGCGAAATAAGGCAAATACTAGATGACATCACTTAAAAAAAATTTTTTTTTTTTTTTTTAGCGTTTATTTATTTTTGAGAGACAGAGAGAGAAGGAGACACAGGATCCGAAGCAGGCTCCAGGCTCGGAGCTGGCAGCATAGAGCCCAATGCAGGACTCGAATGCACAAACCGCGAGATCACGATCTGAGCCAAAGTCAGATGCTCAACCGAATGAGCCACCCAGGCGCCCCTATATGACATCACTTTTATACGGAATCTAAAAAACAAAAATACTGAGCTCCTAGATAGAGAACAGATTGGTGGTTGTGGAGGGGAGGATGGGTGTGAAATGGATAAAGGAGGTCAAAAGGTACAAACTTATAGGTATAAAATAAATAAGTTATGGGAATGTAATATACAGCATGGCGCCTATAGGTAATAACACTTGCAAGCTGCTAAGAGAGTAGATCTTAAAAGTTCTCATAAGAAAAAAAAATTTTTGGGGGGGCGCCTGGGTGGCTCAGTCGGTTAAGTGTCCGACTTCGGCTCAGGTCATGATCTCGCGGTTCGTGAGTTTGAGCCCCGCTTCGGGCTCTGTGCCGACAGCTCAGAGCCTGGAGCCTGCTTTGGATTCTGTATCTTGCTCTCTCTCTGCCTCTCCCCTACTTGCACTCTGTCTCTCTCTGTCTCAAAAATAAATACTAAAAAAAAAGAAAAAAGAAAAAAAATTTTAAACAAAATTGGATTTGAACAGACAAGCCACACACCAGCGTTTACCACACAGAATTGAAAACATCTGCCCGAGGCTGCCCTCATGTTCATCACAGAGGGTACAGGAGAGCTCTAATGTACTGGGAGTGCTTTGGAAACTGGTGAGCTTGCGCACAGAACAGCATGTAAAGTGCTGGGCTCCTCTCAGAGCAGTGGGGTCTGCACCACATTTATGGGTACAAGAAGAAGCAGGGAGCTCCCAGGAAGGGAGGGGGGGGGATACTGGAGAAGTTGAGGAAGAATAACAATAGCAAGGTGTAGGGAAAGTGCCTTAAGGATTTTCCAAATCCCTGGGCACACTCCTTCTCAGAGACGTCTTCCAAGATCCTAGAAAAAGTCGCTGCTGTTTGTTTACTCAGGCTCAATCAACTGGTCAGCCAACTCCTTTCTATTCAGTGGTAACCTCAGAGTCATCAACTGTCTCTTGACCTTAATTCTGGGGGAGAGGAGCATATAAAATTAGTCTAATTTCCCCCAGTTGTTGATCTGAAGCACTAACAAAAGCTGTTATTTACTGGGCCCTTAAAGGAGTGCAAATAAATAATGGCAACAAAAATAAGTAACAAAAATAGGTAACATTTATCAAAGCGCTTCCTCTGTTAGGTACTGTTCTAAACTGCAAGGTGCAGAGCAAAGCATGGAGGGATGAGGGTCTGGGCTAAGCCCGAATAATGGAGAACTTTGAAGCACAGGTGTTGGAGCTGCAAAGCTATGGGTTTGAAATCTGGTTCCATACATTACCGGTGTCTCTAAGACTCTGAGCCCTGACAGGATCCTAGCTGTCTGAGATGTTCAAATTGATAAAGATGTACTAAGTAGAATGCATAAGCCAGTGGCAGGCACACAGCAGCTCCTCAATTAACTAATGATGATCACCCTGAAGATGTCAATCACGTTCGTGTTGCTTCCCCGGCGTCAGCAATAACAATAACCAACACTCGTATGATATTAATACCAAACACTGTTTCTGCACTTACCCCGCTCCAGGCACCGTGGTTTACACTTACATACATTTACTAATTCACTGAATCCTCAAAACAAGCCTATACGGGTACTATTTTCAGGGCCATCTCTCAGATGAGAAAACTGAGGCACAGAGATTATGGAACTTGCCGAAGGTCGCGCAGCTGGAAGTGCAACAAGAGGAATGACCTTTTACTCCGATTCAGTCTGTAATAAGCTCCTCACCTGCGTAAAACCCTCACAATAACCCTAAGGGTTTGCAGATATGCCCACTTTACAGGTGGCGAGACGGAGGCTCGGAGCGGTCCTCCCAAGGATGAAGACTCGGTCTCAGGGCCAACTCCGCACTCACCGGGCCTCCCGGATGCGACGAAGCACGACTCGGCCGTCCGTCTCTGGTTCGGCCTCCAGGCCCGCCGCCGCCGCCTCCCTCCCTCGCGGACGCCGCGCCGCCGAGCGCCTTTTCCTGCGCGGGGCCGCAGCCTGCCAGGGCTCCAGCGCCGCCGCCGCCGCCGCCATGGCCCTCTGACGTCAGCGGCGCGCCGCCTGACGTCATCACCGCGCGCCAGCTCGCCGGGAATCGTAGGGGGCGGCAGGCGCTGGCGGCGCGTGATCCTCGGGCCTGTCCGCCGCGCGAGTAGGTACCGGGCGGGAGTCGCTGGCGCCCCGCTGCTGCCCACCCTGCGAGGCCCGAGCCCTGAAACCCCGGGCTGCCCGACTATGCCGGCGGGTGGGCGGTGCAGGGACACCGAGGGGCGGGACCCCGGCCGAGAGCGCCTCTTGGCGGCCTCTCCGCGCGGCAATCGGCCCCACTTGACCTCCCCCCTCGCCTTTGCCCACCGATTCCCGGCCCCCTGGAGCTGAGGCCAGACACCGCTCAGTGCCCTTAACCCGTTCCTGATCGCAGTCGTTAGCGCCCCTTTTCCTGGCCCGCTGACTCACTGAGGCCACTTCCTACACCACACCTTCCTGCCTCCACTTCTTGGCTCCTCCGGGTCGTTACTGCAACTTCCCAGGCTGCTGGAGCCTTCTCTGGTCGCATCCCAACACCTGCCCTACCCCGGGGACATTACCGGCCTCCCCTGGACCTTTTAGAGATAGGAGGGTGGACCTTGGCAGCGTGGGGCTCGGTCCTAGGGAAACGAGGAATGGGGGTCTCAGGCTGCTGTCCTGGATTCCAAGAGCTGACATGCCCCAGATCATGCTTCAGAGAACACCATGAGTATGGCCTGTGGAGGCCTACCTCAAGATGCCTAAAGCTGAGGAAAGATAAGAGATTTCACAGGCCTCAGAGAGTCAGTGGGGTCCTCTCTAGGTACTTCTAAGAAAAGAGCCTTAGGAAAACTACAGTATTCTCAGGAGGATGACAGATGGTGAGCAAGCAGTTGAAACCCTGTGGCTGAGACATCCAGCTTGGACAAAGTGACAATAGAAATAGAGTTCTGAAGGGACCACTCTAATTCTTGAGGAAGAATTAGAGACCCTGTTTTGTTTTCCTCGTGTGTTATCCAGACCGGCGTTGGGAGGTTCCTGGGAGGCCAGTTTTAGTTTGGTGGCAGGATAAAGTTAACACTATGAGCTGCCTGTGTCTCTGGAGGGAGTAGGCCAGGGACCAGCTAATTTTTGACAGTACGAGAGAGAAGCCTCAGGGTAAATGATGCCGGGGTCCCTTCTGATTCTGAAATTCCATGGTGCTCTGTTGCCTGTTCTCTTGGAGTTTGAGAGCCACTTGTTAAACTCTTTTTTGTTTTGAAAAACTTGCCCAGCTCTGGATTTAACGTTCAGATTACTTTTGAGCTGTCAAGGTGACAGTTCCTTAATTTGAGTTCCGTGATTACTGCAACAACCACCTTATTTGTATAGCTGTCCCTGGCATACAAAGCTATTTCACACTACTTGTGTAGTTTTGTCTTCTGTGTGGCAGAACTGTTAAAAAAAAAACCCTGAAGAACTTACTCTGAAGGCCTGCCCCACTCTCTTTTTTTGTTCTGAAACACAATTTTCAACTTTCTAGAAGACTCTTTGAAGTATACCGTTTGCCTAACCCTGCTGGGTCACATGCTGTCTCATGGGTTTCTGAAATAATCTATTCCTTGTGTTTATTTTAGGACCAAGGCACTGATGTTTGAACAGGCAGCTTCACAATGTTTAAAAGAATCTTCCAAATGGCTTTGAATCAGACAAACTAGAAAATCGCTTCGGAACACCGCCTTCAGCACGCATCTCCCCCCTTGGGCTTTCCTGGCCAGGAGCTTTTTGAAGAGTCCATTCTGCAGGGAGCCAGAATGCTGATCCTCATGGAACCAGCTTAGAGGATTTGACTTTTCTGGTAGATTTCTCTCCCTTTATTAGATTCTCTCCCAGAGTTCTAAGAGGCATGGAGGTATTCATGGCACCGAAGAGCCTGCGAGGAAGGAAGTAGCACTTTCATGCTGCGTGAAAACCAAGCAGGTGACAGTTGTGGCTGAAAACACTTAAATCTCTCACGTCTGGATTTACTGCTGGGGCGCAAAAAGCAATACTGGACAAGACAACCCAAATAAGTAGAATGAGGGCCACTGGCAAGTAAATGGCCACTTCTACCTTGACGGAGCCGACGTCAGCCTCCTGGTGAGTAGCAAGGCCTGTGTGGCTTGCCTCCTGCCCAGCTGCTGGACCGATGCCTTGGATGAACTGAAAATCCCCAGCCAGACCGTCTTGCTTTCACTAAGGGCGGGGGGGGGGGGAAAGAAGGCATTTTTCTCAGAGCGGCCCAGTCAGGCATGTGAGCCGATGGTCTCTCTCCAGAGCTCAAACCTTGCAGTGTTCGAGCGAGTCGAGCATTACTGGTTGACTGCAGAAAAGCTGGCCACGGCCGGGTCACGCAGTCAGCTTCGATGAGACCGTGGGCGTTGTAATCTTCATTTGTAAGAGACAAGAAACGGTTACAGTGCAGAATTACACCATAAGAAGAGGTCTGGCCCGTCTGCCTCTTGAAGGCTATTACACAACGTCTGCTTGAAACTCCGTTCCCTTCTCAGCCCCACACGGGTTAAGCCTCTCTCCCAATTTGGCTCAGCAAACGTTTCATTGAACAATGCAAACAAAAGGGCTGGTTTAACTAGGAGCAGGATTCAGTGACCAGTTATGTGTGTGGAAGGCACAAAGAGGGAGCCATCCATTATGACGCCCAGGGTGTCTTTTGCATGCCAGAAAGCGTGAGGGTGCTTTTGCCCCGATGACGTAAGGAGAGGGTCAGTGGGGCCCAGCAGTGGGATTTCTGAATTGGGTTTGACACGTTTTTGAGGCTTTTTGATCTGGGCTTGCCCTGCAGGTGGTTCCACATCTGGTCCTACAACTCAGGAAGCAGACTGCGGCTGGAAACAAGAGTTAGCCTTGTCATCAGGAAGAGAAGCTAGGAGCCAGGGAGGGTGGTAGGGGGAGGGTGTAGATCCAGGGAGAAGAGCGCAGGTGTCAAAAGAGTGGTCACAGTTCCTCCTTATGCTCTAGCCTGATGGGTGTGCTTCTGGAGAGGTAAAACCCAGGTTCAGCCTTTGGGGGGGGGGTCTGCTTTGTGGTCTTAAAGAGGTATTTATACTGCAGAGTAGACTAGAAGAGTCCTTAGCAAAGAACAGAGGGTTCTGGAAGGAAATCAGAAGTTTGATGACAGGTGTGTGTTGGAGTTAACACACTGTGAGGGCAGAGAGGGGTTTGGGGCTCCTCTGTGAGCTCTCATAAGCCCCATTTCTCCTGTTATAGACTCACTGTCCTGCGTTGAAATGAAATGTGTACAGTCTCTCTATTAGCGCCATGGCCCCAGGGTTGGCAAAGGGGAGAGCACACTGTCGCCCTCATTGTTTGCTAAATGAACGCGTGGATTTCTGGTCAGAGGGATATTTCCAGAGACTGTGGTGCCCAGCAGTTGCAGGGCGTGTGGCTAAGACATCCCCAGCTAATTTGGTTGTCAGAGCCTTACATGACAGTGTTCCAAACCACGTGGTGGTATGGTTAAGGGTCAGTGTCTCAAACAAGAGATGTCCCTGGGCGCTCTGTCTCTCCCCCAGATACACTTTGGTCCTTTGGGCCAGACGGTCTGACGACGGGATAGAGGCATATTTTTAGTTGGACTCGACAGCACTTTCGAAGTGGTTTGTTATCTGTTTGTAGCCACTGGGTGTCTTTCTTCTCTGGGGCCACCAGAAGGCTCTTCAAATCCTGAGTAATGAGCCCTTCTCGCGCTGGGGCATAGGAAGCGGTGTTTTAAAATGCCTCGATCGCCGGATGAAGGGAAACATGGCTCCATTCTGTTCTCTTGCCAGGTGGAATTATTTTTTCCTTTATGATGGTTCAAAGGTGAAGGAAGAAGGCGATCCGACGAGGGCTGGCATTTGTTATTTCTATCCTCCTCAGGTGAGCGCCCCAGCACGTTATTGTTCGGTGGGGATGCGGCTGCCTCGGCGTGGTGGCTTTTCAGAAGCAGAGCATTTACATCGGGACAGTTTGTAAGCCAGGCATTCTTGGCGTTCCCTTGACAGCTCCGTACTTCCGTCCTCTCTGGCTTTCTGCCACCGTCCTGATTTTCTTTTTGGTTTGTTTTTTTTTTAAAGTGTTTTTATTTATTTTGGGAGAGAGAGAAAGCGCGAGTGGCAGGAGGGCAGAGAGAGGAGACATCGAGAATCCCAAGCAGGACAGGCGCAGAGCCGGGCATGGGGCTTGAACTCAGCAACTACAGGATCATGACCCGAGCCAAAGTTGGTGCTTAAACCAACTGAGCCGCTCAGGCCGTCCCACCGTCCTGATTTTCTGTCTGCCTCTCCTTGCTCCCAAGTTTTGATCGGCTCTTTTTTTTTTTTTAAGTTTATTTATTTTGAGAAAGAGAGAAAGAGAGCACAAGTGGGGGAGGGACAGAGAGAGGGAGAGAGAGAATCCCAAGCAGGCTCTGCACCCACAGTACACAGCCCAATGTGGGGCTGGAACTCAGGAATACTGAGAATCGTGAGATCATGACCTGAGCCAAAATCAAGAGTCAGACGCTTAACCAACTGAGTCACCCAGGCACCCCTTGATCGGCTCATCAAAAACACTTCCATGGGGCGCCAGGGTGGCTCAGTCGGTTAACTGCCTGACTCTTGGTTTCAGCTCATCACGATCTCACGGTTCGTGAGTTCGAGCTCTGCATCGGGCTCTGTGCTGACAGCGTGGAGCCTGCTTGGAATTCTCTCTCTCCCTCTCTCTCTCTGCCCCTCCTCCGCTCGCTCACTCTCAAAAAAATGAATAAGCTTACAAAAATTAAAAACAACGCCAACGACCACAAAACAGTCTCATTCAAACGTATACAAAAGCAGAGAGGAGAGTGTCATGGACCCTCCTGTGCCCGTCACCAGTTAATTGGTCACAATAATCCCTTAATATCATGTGATACTATATTCAAATTTTGCCTTCCTGTTTTGATCTCTGCCCGATCACTTCCTCGTGGTGGATGTCACCTCAGGTCTTATTTCCCGTGTCTCCTTTACGCTCTTAGTAAGACGTAGAGCCTCGAGTAGATTCAAGCTCTTTTAGGCAGGACTTCTTCCTAGGTGGCGTGTACATTTTCTCTTGCGTCACACAGCGTCTGGCTGTCCTGCAGTTTAGTTAATGCTCAGACGGCCTCTGCATTCGCTCATGTGATCGCGTTCCCGCTGGGGTAGTTGGGATTAGTCTAGGCTGCTCTGGCCACTCTGCAGGGGATCTGAATGGGGATGAACGGCTCCTGCTCCTACCTGTGCAAGTGCCCCGAGTCCTCGGAACAAAAATGAAGTTCTGCCCAGTCACCGTATGCACGCAGCCGGGATGTTCTGAGACAGCTCTGTTATCCCAGGCAGGGGTCAGCACACTTTGCCTGCAGAGGGCCAGAGAGTGAGTATTGAGGCTTTGCAGGCCATGTGAGCTCTACATCACACGTTCTTTGTTGTTGTCCTGACGGCCTTCAAATATCAAAACCATGCTTAGCTCCTGGGCCATCTGAAACCAGCCAGCCCCCCAGATCTGGCCTGCAGGCTGCAGTCTGCTGTTGCCCCAGCCTCTGCTCTAAGAAATGACGCACGAGTGGGGCCGCCTGGGTGGCTCAGTCGGTTAAGCATCCGACTTCAGCTCAGGTCTTGATCTCGCGGTTCGCGAGTTCGAGTCCGGCATCGGGCTGTGTGCTGACAGCTCAGAACCTGGAGCCTGCTTCAGATTCTGTGTGTGTGTGTGTGTGTGTGTGTGTGTGTGTGTGTGTGTCTCTCTCTCTCTCTCTGCCCTTCCCCCGCTTGTACTCTCTTTCTCTCTCAAAAATAAGTAAAACGTTAAAAAAAATTTTTTTTAAATGAATGATACACGAGTTCAGCGGTTTCACCTTCCCCTCTGGAATTTGCTGCTTTCCCACAGACTCTGCTTGACCAGCAGGAGTTGCTCTGTGGACAGATTGCGGGCGTGGTGCGCTGTATTTCTGACCTCTCCGCCTCAGCTCCCACCCTCGTTCGTCTGCGGAAACTGAAGTTCGCCGTAAAGGTTGACGGAGAGTACCTTTGGGTAAGTTTGCCAGACAGAACCTGTGCCGACAGGGTGGCCATCTGCCTTGGTGATGAGTGTTGTGCTGGTAAGGTGTAGAAGGTAGTGCTTTCCGTGGCTCTGGAGCCTGGGACCCCCTCCACACCCCCAGGTCCCTCATGCAGTACATCTGCGCTTCCTGTGTCACTCTCTGCAGGTGCCATCATAACTGAGCACTCTCCGGAACGTCTCTTTTTTATTTCTTTATTAGAGAGAGAGAGAGCACGGGCAGGGGAGAGGGGCAGAGGGAAAGAGAGAGAGAGAATCTTAAGCAGGCTCCACGCTAAGCGTGAAGCCCGACGTTGGGCTCGATCCCACGACCCTGGGATCATGACCTGCGCCAAAATCAAGAGTCAGGTACTCAACTGACTGAGCCACCCAGGCGCATACTAAACCGTTGAAGGAATCTTACAGTGAACAGTCCTGTGTATTTCCAAGGTTCTGCAGTTACCAGTTCATTATATGTATTATTTATAATTTATTATAGTCGCTTTATCACATCTCTCCATCCATGCCTTCATCTTCTGGCAATCCAGTTTTTATTTTAATGCTTGCCAAAGTTGCACACACTGGTATACTCCTCCCCACCCCTAGGACCTCATTATGCATGACGTTAATTAGAGCTCAGTAGTGGTTTGTGTTGGTCTTTTGTTTTGTTTTGGGGTAAGATTTACATACCCCGAAACTCACAGATATTGAGCGCGCCACTTAATACATTTGGACAGATGACACCCTGCATGTCACGAATCCCCATCAAGGTGCGGAATGTTAGCGTCGCTCCGGGCAGCTCCCTTATGTCCAGCTAATTCTTACTCGCGCGTCCCAGGCAACCATCGTTCTGATTTTTTCCCACCGCAGGTGAGCTGTGCCCGTTCTAGACTGTCAGTAGGAGTGAAAGAGTATGTACAGTATTCCTGTCCGCAGGCTTCTGTCGTTCCTGTGACCTCGCTGGGCATCATCCACAGTTTGTTCTCTGTATCGTGGAACAGCATTGTCTGAATGTCCATTGTCTGAGTATATCCCTCCACTCCCGCCCTTGCTTTTTTCTGGATACGTGAACCACCTCTATCAGGGACAGTCAAGAATAGGCTGCTAGGAGCATTCCTATACGAGTCTTTTTGTGGACATAACTTTTCATTTCTCGTGGGTAAATATTTAGGCAGAGATTCGCTAGGTCACGGGCTATGTGTAGGTTGATTTTATAAGAAACTTCCAGGCCTTTTCCCGAAGCGGTTGTTCCATTTTACAGTCCTACCAACCGTGTGCGAGAATACCCGTTCGTGTACGTCCTTGTCAACCGTGCTGTCAGCCTGTTCGGTTTGAGCCACTCTGCTGGGGGTGTACTGATATCTCATTTTGGTTTGGGTTTCCGTTTCTCTAATGACCAATGCTGTGAAGGTTTTTTCGTAGGCTTAATGGCCACTGGTATGTCTCCCTTCAAGAAGTATCTGCCCAAAGTTTGCCCATTTTTTATTTTTACTTTTTTAAATTATTTTTCCTTGATGTTTATTTTCTGAAGAGAGAGAGAGAGAGAGCACATGTGCACACAAGCAGGGAGGGGCAGAGAGCAAGGGAGACAGAGGATCCTGAGCAGGTTCTGTGCTGACAGCAGAGAGCCCAACTCGGGGCTCAAACTCACAAACCGTGAGATCATGACCTGAGCCGAAGACAGAGGCTTAACTGACTGAGCCACCCAGCCACCCGTTTGTCCATTTTTTAAACTGGGTTTTCTCTCTTTACAGAGTCCTAAGTCCTGTTAGTCTTTTATATATCCTGGATATCTGCTATTTGTCAGATACATATTTTAAAGATATTTTCTCCCCCTTTGTGATGTGCCTGTCAGTTTTTTTAATGATGTCTTTTGATGTGCAGAACATTGTAATTATTTTTAAAAGTTCACTTATTTAACGTCTACACCCAACGTGGGGCTCAATCTCATAACCCAGAGATCAGGAGTCACACATGCTACAGACTGAGTCAGCCAGCACCCCCAGAATGTCTCAATTTTAATTTAATTTTAATTCCTAACATACTAGTTTTATCTTTTGTAGTTAGTGCCTTCTGTATCCTGTGTAAAACCACTACCTACCCTACCGGAGAAGCTGTTTTCCAATTTTTTTCTTCTAAGCTTTATAGTTTTAGCTTTGATTTTTTTAAGTTTATTTTGAGAGAGAGAGAGCGCACGTGTGCATTCACGAAAGCAGGGGAGGGAGAGAGAGAAGCCCAAGTAAGGTCCACACTGTCAAGGCGGAGCCAAACATGGGGCTCGATTTCATGACATGACCTGAGCCCAAATCAAGAACTGGACACTTAACCAACCGAGCCACCCAGGTGCCCCCGAAGTTTTAGCTTTTAAACTTAGGTCTGTAATCCCTCTTGGATCATTATTGGTGCGTGGTGTGAAATAGAGTCAGAGGTCCTCTTTTTCCATATGGATATCCAGTGGTTCCAGCACCACTCTCGACAAAACTCTCCCGCTTGGCTTCTTTTGGCTCCTTTGTTGACGATCAGGCGACCACGTCAGTGGGGGTCTGTTTCTGGGCTCTGTTCTTTTCCATTGATCGATTGGAAGATCCCGTACGAGTACTGCACCGTCCGGAAATCAGATAGTCCACGTCCTCCAGCCTTCTTTTCCAGGGCGGCTTTAGCTATTTTATATTCTGGGTATCAGTATGTCAGTTTCTGGCGGTGGGATTGTTAGAGTTGCATTCGATAGGTTAATGGATCAATGAGGAAAGAAATAAGCACCGTGTGCCAGACCGTGGTAAGCCCTTGGGTTGCATCAGTGAACCAAGCAAAGATCCTGGCCTCAGCGGAGCTTACAGTCAGGAATTTGTTTGTCTTATGTCAGGGTTTGTTTGTTTCTTGGCTTCTGGTGATTCCCTTTGGAAAGATCCCTAGAGGTCGAATGACTGGGTCAAAGGACACAGACTCTTCTCAGGCTCTTTTCAGTATGCAGCCAGATTGCTTTTTGACGGAGCACACGTTTCTCTTCTGTGGAACTGAGCACCGCGACACTCTGGAAGTCTAGAACTGTGTGATGATTGGTTTGCTTCCTCTCCCGAAGCAGTTGGTCCAGCTCGGGAGACGAGAACGCCATTCACGAAACAGTCAGAGTCCTGTCCAGCGTTTGTAACAGAACCCGCATTAAACACCCAGTGTGCGACTAACAGTCCTGATAATATAAGGGGTCAGCAAAGAGGTCTGCATTGGTCAGAGTGACCTGAACGGGCACCGTGAAGGTGCTGGAATCTGCAGTGGGCGCAGAGGGGATGGGTGAGCCTTGGACAGACAGACAGAAGAAAGGAGGACATTCCAGGTTGGACAACTTGAGTAGATACAAACAGCACTTGCTCTCTTGGAGACCAGCGGGGCTGGAGTGGACACGGTAGGCCTGGTGTAGACCCATCCATTTTCAGCGGGTCAGTACCTTCTAGCCCTGTGGAGCCCTGGATGCCGGGATTCCAGGTTTGGACTCAGAGCAAAGGAAGATGCCTGTCTCCTGGTTTCCCTCTTTCTAGGTGCTGGGCTGTGCTGTGGAGCTCCCCGACGTTAGCTGCAAGCAGTTTCTGGATCAGCTCATTGGTGTCTTTAATTTTTACAACGGGCCCGTCTCTCTGGCTTACCAGGTATGAGGATGGTGGTGAGGAGTCACATGCGGACTTCTCAGCAGGTCCAGGATCGCCAGTGCACAGCATTGCTCTAGGGTCTCTCGTACTTTTCATAAACACGTCACATCCTGCGGCAACGTCAAGGGCCCCGGGAGTCCCTCCTAGATGCCTTTGCTCCCCAGTGGTGTAGGTCACATCCACTGCGAACGTCCGTCCCCATGTGCTCCTCCCTGGGATGGCTGGAAGACCAGGTTGCCCCCCCACCCCCAGCACGAGCGCTGGGTCTGTGGTGGGTGAGTTATGAGGGGGGAGGGGTCCCGTGTGCCTGGGAAGTTTAAAACAGGCCCTACCTTCTGGCCAGTTTCCTGTGTCAGGAATGATTTATTTATTTATTTTGAGAGAGAGCACATGGGAGAGGGGCAGACAGAGAGGGAGAGAGAATCCCAAGCAGTCTGCGTGCCACCAGCACAGGGCCTGGCGTTGGGCTCGAACCCATGAACTGTGGGATTGTGACCTGAGCCGAAATCAAGAGTCGGACCCTCAACCGGCTGAGGCTTCCAGGCATCCCATGATTTTCGTAGTAGTAGGGATCCTTGCCAAAGGGGGTGTCTCTCCAAATCTTGGATGCTGACCTCCAGTGGTTTCTGTTGTAGAACCGTTCTCCGGAAGACCTGCACGCTGCTTGGGACACCTTCATTGCTCAGGTCCTAAAGAACACCAGTGACCTGCACAAGATATTCAACTCCCTCTGGAACCTGGACCGGACTAAAGTAACACCCTCCTTCCCCTTCCCCATTCCACCTAAAGGAACAGAGCTTCTGGACATTTTCTTCTTCCCTTTCGGTGACCTCTCTATCCAGAGAAGAGACTAGAATGTGTCATTTCTCGGTGGGGAGGGGGAGGGTTATTAAGACCCGTGCTCCGCTTCCACGCTGCCGCTCGCCAGCCGTGTGAACTTGGACAGCCCAGGTCTCCTCTCAGAGCCCCGGTTTCCCAACCTGCAAACAGCTGTTGGTATGCCCGCTCCCAGGACTGTTTTGAAAGTACAGCGAGACCATAGCTAAATTGGCACAAAGTAAATAGTAAAGGGGGGTGTTATTTTGCTAGTGCCCCAGAAGTGTTGGACTCTGGCATCTGAAGGTCCCCACATCTTTTTTGATGTGAGTATGATACAGTTGACTTGTATTCCCACCATCAAAAATGCCCAGTGTGACTTTTAGTTTAGTTTAGTTTAGTTTAGTTTAGTTTAGTTTGAAGGAGGGAGTGCGTGAGCACACAGGGAAGGGGCGGAGAGAGAGAGGGAGAGAGAGAATCCCAAGCAGGCTCTGCACGGTCAGCACACAGGCGGATGTGGGGCTTGAACCCACAATCCATGGGATCTTGACCTGAGCCGAAGTTGGATGCTCAACCAACTGTGCCTCCTAGGCACCCCCCGCCCCCCGCCCCCAGTGGTACCATTTTACAAACAAGGTGTCTCTGTCTGGGAGGGAGTCCTTGGGAGCGTTTCGTCCCGGAGCCGCTCCATTGGCCACTGGTGTTCAGTGACACATAGGCAGCTTGCGTGGTTGGCCTGACCACCGATGCTGCCTCTTGCTCAGTGGCCTTGATCTTGGTGAACATCACGTCCTCATTGTCAAGGGCAAAGGGAGACGCGAGGCTGTGCCCCCTGAAGAATGGTCCTCCTGCGCCCCAATACCTGAGGAGGCGTGTGGGCCGCGTCTCACCACAGGAGTCAAGAGGGTCCCGTCAGCGGGCAGGTGGGGTCGTGGCTGTGCCTTCACAGAGCGTGACTCTGGCTGGAATCGGAGACGGGCTTTCCTGGCTCTGGTTGGAGGGATTTTCAGAGTTGGCCACAGAGCTTTGCGGAATGGCTGGCCGGGACCGGGCACTGTCTTGAGGCTTGAAAGAGCAAACTCAGCTCCAGAGCTTGCTCCCTTGGCACTGAACTCTGACCACTATGGTGCTTGCAGGTTCTAGCTGTCGGCAGGTAATGGGAAGAAGCTTTTAGCTACTGCTGGCGACTCTTGACCGGGTTCAGATCCTCTTCCGGTATTCTTAGGGACTTCTAGGCAATGGACTCCTTGCAAGGAACGTCGAGTTGAGGATTATTTCCCTGAGTGAGAGACCTTGATGCTTTCATTTTATGTGACGGGACAGAGTTATGGGACTTGGTGGGATACGAAACCAGCTCTGTGGCTTGTGCTTGAGAGGGAGGGGAGAGGAGGGGGTGTGTGGCTTTACCTGGTGCCACGCCGTGTGTTTGAGGGGTGGGCTCCCCTCTCCCACTGCCTCCTGGTCTCAGCATCCGTAGTCCTCCTGAGGGAGACCTACCTTGTCCCCACGAGTGGCCGTGTGCCGTATTCGCCGCACCTCCTCGCTTCTGCAGAAGCCTCCTCGTTCCAAGAATTGGGCATTTCGTGTCGGCCGGGGTTCCGGATATAGAGAGGTGGAACACAGACCCAAGGCGTGACACGGATTTTACCACGTGGCGCATTGTCCTTTTCCCCAGTTTTGGGTTAGGACCTGTCCACGTGTTCTACGAAGCCCCCTGCTCTCTCCACCTTTGCCGATGGTGAGCACGCTGATTTGTGGGTGTGCCTCTTGCCCTGCATAGGTGGAGCCCCTGTTGTTGCTGAAGGCAGCCCTCATTCTGCAGACGTGCCAGCGCTCGCCTCACATTCTGGCCGGCTGTATCCTCTACAAGGGACTGTGAGTAACGCCAGCGTCTCCCCCACACCCCAGCCCCCTGCCACCGAACCAGACCGGCCCGCCCTCCTCCAGATCACGGGCCGGGAGCCCCATCCCTGGCCCGTTCCAAGAGGGCTGCTTTGGCAAATGTCAGATAGTCGATATTTGACTTAGGGCACATACCTGTCTTTCGGCCACACTGGGAAATTGGCCATCATGTCCAGAAAAGGGCTAGGAATGTAAAAGGCACATTTTAGAGAGATCCGCGTGAGTCTCGTGATGGGGCGTGCCTTTATAGTCATCAGTCTACAAAGTGCTGACTCGGGGCGCCCCAGCTTGCTGACAGCACAGGAGGGGAAGGGGTGTGGCAGCCTGCCGCGGTCCCCTCCCGCTGCCTGGGGCCCTGCTGCCCTTCCGTGGCCGGTTCTGTGGGGCCCTGCTGCCCTTCCGTGGCCGGTTCTGCACAACACAGAGCGGCCTCACCTGCTTCTGCTTGGGCTTCTGCCTGCCGCCTGGCTGGGTCCATCTCTTGCTGGCCTCTGAGATCTCCCCGCACCTCTTCATGTGGTTGAGGGCATCAGAGTGAGCCCGAGTGCCTGAGGGCCCCTCCACGTGTGGTCTGAGGCCACTCTCCTCATGGACGGCCGCTGCTTGCGTCCAGAGCTTTCTGATGCCTGGATGAATGTGTGACTGGAGAAGGTCTGGGGGCCTGACAGCCTGGTGGGTTTCCAGTCCTGGCCTCGGACAGGTTGCTTGCTGAATTTTCTCTACTGGGAAAGAACCTTTGTGGGGAATGAAAAGAGAGGGCAGATGTGGACAGACGGAGCACAGGCCCTGCTTTCCGATGGCCCCTGGCACGGCAGACCCTCACGCTTTCCCCGTTGTCTCATTATGATGGCTCTTTAAAAAAAAAAATTTTTTAATGTTTACTTTTGAGAGAGAGCCAGAGTGTGAGTGGGGGAGAGGCAGAGAGAGAGAAGGAGACACAAATTAGAAGCAGGCTCCAGCATATGACCTGTCAGCACAGAGCCTGATGTGGGGCTTGAACCCACAAACTGCAAGACCATGACTTGAGCTGATGTCAGATGCTTAACCAACTGAGCCACCCAGGCGCCCCTCTCATTATGATGGTTCCGAACCTGCTTGTGGTGCCTCCAGGCTCACCAGTGGCCTTGCATCAAGAGTGGTATTTTCCCCTTATGTTGCATTTCTCGTGTATTTTTAAATCAGACACCTAATGCACGAACGCATTTTTGCTGCTGCTAGCAGTTTGATCTGTATCCTTTGCTTTTCCATGTGGTTCCAGTACAGCGTCACATATGTTGCTTCTGTTTATTTTTGCTGCCTCTGTCAACGGGCCCATACGGTTCCTCAACGTGTACAGTAGAGATTTATCAGTCCATGCTGATCCACTTCATTCTTGTAATTGCCGCACGGTTTTTGGTATTACAGCTGTGCCGTGATTCACTTCACTGCGTATTCTTTTCGATGGACGTTTAGGTGTTCATCCATTTTGTGACTATTTTACCATTTTTTTCTGTAGCACGTAACTCTTTTTTTTAAGTTTATTTTTATTTATTTTGAGAGAGATTTAAATTTTTTAATGTTTATTTTTGTGTGTGTGTGAGAGAGAGAGAGCGTGAGCGTGGGAGGGGCAGAGAGAGAGGGAGACACAGAATCCGAAGCAGGCTCCAGGCTCTGAGCTGTCATCACAGAGCCCAATGTGGGGCTCGAACCCATGAACCATGAGATCCTGACCTTAGCCAAAGTCAGATACTTAACTGACTGAGCCACCTAGGCACCCCTATTTTGAGAGAGATTTAGAGAGCAAACAGGGGAGGGGCAGAGAGAGAGAGGGAGACAGAATATCAAGTAGTCTGTAGAGTCTGATGTGGGGCTTGAACTCACGAACTGTGAGATCATGACCTGAACCGAAATCAAGAGTCAGATGCTTAACCGACTGAGCCACACAGGTGCCCCTGTAATGAATACTCTTAAGTATGCATCTTGGTACAAGGCAGGTCAAAGCGTTTGGACATTCTGAAGTTAGGTAGGAATGGCCAGAGTGCCCTCCATAGGGCTTTGTCAGCTGAAACTCCCACTGGCTATGTCCCCAAGACCCTCGCCAACATGGGTTGTTAAGAATCCTGCAGTGTATTTTGTCTCACGGTGTCCTTGTTTTTTTCTTCCTCCTGTGACCTAGGATTGTTAGCACCCAGCTCCCACCGTCCCTCACGGCTAAGGTCCTGATCCATCCAGCTGTACCTCGGGACCAGGTATTGTAAAGTCCACCCACCTGGCTGGGATGCTTCATCCACAGCCTCAGTCTCTTAAGCAGAAAAATAGAATTTTATGTGCTGTGATTTCAAGGCATTTAAAAAAATGCATAACCTTGAAGGAAAATATACCCAAGATTAACAGTATTAGCCTGTGGGTGAGGGAAGTCTATGTGATTGGGGAGCTGATTTTTGTCTCAAGTACAATTATATAACTTGAAACATGAGTTTTTTAAAAAGCCACTAAAAAAGAAAGAAAGCCACCGTTTCTTAGGAGCGAAAGTCATGCTGGCCGGAAGAGTTTTCGTTTGTTTTTTTGTTTTTTTGTTTTGTTTTTTTTTTTCGTGGGTTGTTTGGGAACCTTCGGATGAATTGTCTGGAAAGCTCTTTTGAGAAAATTCCCAGTTTCAGAGAAAATTAGGCTTGTCACCTTGACTGTGAATCAGAATAAACAAGAGAGATCTAGCACAGCATTTGGGTTAGGTCACATCCTTTATCATGAGGGTCCCGGACGTTTCTGTATTTGTTACGGTGGAATGTGTGTGCGTTCCACGCCGGGGCTGCGGCAGGAGTGGGAATACCATGGCAGGTGAGTTCTCCCGAGGTGGAAAAGACACTGGGAATCCTCACCCGCATTCCCAGAGGAGGGAAATAGATCAGACCGTGAAGCCTGATGTGCGTTTGCGGGGAGCCGCGGCCTGGGGAGGCGCAGGTTCTCGTCTGACCCCGGCCGTGGTGGAGAGCAAGCAGCTTGGGGGAGCTTCTGTGCCGTCTGCTTCGCTGCTGGCATGTGGCCGGGGCAAGCGTTCTGGGGCTGGCTACATTTTACGAGCAGATGGCACCACACAGTGCCGATGATTCGGTCCGGAGGAGAAGGCGGAACCCGGAGCCAACTTCTGTGTGTGTTTATTTTCAGAGAATACCTGCAGGAGGGGGTGCCCTGCAGGAACATGGTAAGTAGCAAGGTGCATCGCTGCCTCTTGAGAACATAGCCTTTTATGCCACCTATCCCTACACAAGTCACGGGAGAGGCCCGGCGGTCCCGTGCGTGCGTTTCTTCCTGTGCTCAGAGATTAGGGAAACAGACTAGAGCTTTAAGAACAAAGTTACCCTGGGCGCCTGGGTGGCTCAGTCGGTCAAACATCCGACGTCGGCTCAGGTCATGACCTCACGGTTCGTGGCTTCGAGCCCCACGTCAGGCTCTGTGCTGACAGCTCGGAGCCTGCGGCCTGTTTTGGATTCTGTGTTTCCCTCTCTCTCTGCCCCTGCCCTGCTTGCACTCTGTTTCTCTGTCTCCCAAAAATAAGTAAATATTAAAAAAAATTTTTTTGTAACTTAAAAAAAAGAACAAAGTTACCCATCAGAATCCTAGTTGTAAAGCTCCTGAGTCTACGTGTACCTTTCCAATCCCTGTTTTCAGATGCTCACCACCTCATTGTCAGGACTGCCCAAACGAGGTCCAGGGGATCATGGTTACAGGAGACCAAGAGAAACAGCAGTTGCCAGAAAGACCTTCTGCAGGATGTAGGGGCATCCCTGAGCGGGTGATTTTGTTTTAGTTTGAAGCATAAGTTAGGGCAGATCCCTTTTGTCAGTTGGAGGAGATTTTTCCAGCTTTTATTCTGTTTTTGCTCGTTTTTTAAGTGCCAGTAGCTTTTCTTCCCCCAAGTCACCTTTATCCACAGCGAGGAATAAAGCTGCCCACGAGAGCTCCCTCCCCACCGGGCACAGAACTCCAGCTGCGGTTTCGCGTCTTTTGTTCTGGGCTGAGGAGTGTGTCGGGGCGGCTCTCCCAAGTCGGCGTGTCGTTTGGATGGGTCACCCCAAGCGTAGTTCCTGTCCCTCCATCTTCCCGGCCCATGGCAGAGCCCTGTCTGTGTTGCTTTGTGATTCTAGGAGCGGCACTCCCCGCAAATGTCCAGATCATGCCTGTGTTCCTGACCGAAGAGGAAGCCATCAGTCTCCACGAGTTCCCAATGGAGCAGGAAACGAGGTACAAACAGGCCAGCCTTCCATCTTCCCCACGCTCTGCTATGGAAGGGGCACCTGGGGCGGCTGGCCTCGCGAGATGGGTGTGGGTTTCAGGTCCCAGCTCTGCCGCTTACCAGCTGTGTGACCTTGGGCAAGTCCATTCCCTGGCTGTAAATCGGACCCAGTAATAACCTACTTCACGGGCTCGGAGTCAAAATTGGAAATAGCGTACGTACAACATCTAGCGTAAGGCTCGACTCAGAGTAGACTTCCAGGCGGGGTGGCTCTCATTCAGCAGGGGCCCTGCCGTTGCCAGTACGCGGTCTCGTAGCACCGCGTGAAGCCCCGAGGGCCAGACATCGCCTACTTTTACTCCTGTGGATTGACCACGATGGCCTCTTGGGCTCTGTGGCCTTGGGCACCCACTTGTCACCGAGGGCCCTGCTCTTTAGAGAAGCGATGCTTCAGTCTCCCCCGGGGAAGGGCACCTGTCCTGCCCTCAGTCGGGCGCCCCTCCGTCATGTCTGTCTGGTTTGCTAGCTCGGCTGCCCCGTCGGCCGGACTCCAGGAGCACTCAGCCCAGCGTTGGAGCACATCTGGCCCCACCGAAAACGCCACTGGCCACGTGGGATCTGCAGCCTGGACGTTGGCAACCACTCCCGAGCCTACGGGTCCTGACGTAGCATGGCCAGATGGCAAGGGGGAGAACAGGCGCTTGCCTGGCCGTGATCTGGAGAACGTCAAGCCTGCAAGACAGCACAGCCCGGCCAGGGACAAGGGTCCTGGTCTCCGCGGCTCCCTGGCGAGGGAACCTCGTCTGCCCTGGGCGGAGGAGGAACCGGACTTGTCTGAGATCCACATTCCAGAAGCTCGGGAAACAGGAACGTGCCCGGGTTATTTTGCCCTCCCGAGTACGTGTGCCCCAGATGGTGGCAGTCCTTGCTTTGAGGAATGTGCCAGTGACTGTGGCAGCCAGGAACCCAAGCCGCCTGATGCCCTCAGCAGCTTCCTGTCTCTGTCCACTCCTGAGATCCCCCCCCAGAACGGAGCCCTGGAGCGGCACAACGACCTTCCAGGGGACAGCAACCCAGCCCCCTCTCCCAGGGAAGACCGCCTCCCTGGAAGGACGGGCAGGCCGTGGTCATGGCCTTGCTCAGACTCGAGGCAGGAAGGAACCATGCTTCCCGTGGGCGAACGAGGCACAGAGCAGCCTGTTGGGGTTCGTGACAGCCGCTCAACACCCGGCGGCTCTGACTTGGCAGAGTCTCAGGACAACGGTCCCTCTGCAAACAGAAATGACCCGAGGTCAGCCCCCACATCCCGTGAGGGGCTTGTGCCGATGAACCTCTACACCCACGATGTCAACGGGCTGGTGCTGTCCCTGCTGGCCGAGGAGCCGCTGCTGGGCGACGACGCAGCCATCGAGGAGGTGGTGAGTGTGCACAGACCTGTCTGCTGGGAGGGGACGGGCAGGAAGGTGCTCCCCTCAGGGCGGCGCACAGGTGCCGCGTGACCTTGCGCCGAAGTCCCACTCTACGCGGAGGGGATGAGGGTGGTACCTACGCCCTGGGTTCGTGGGGACGAGTTGTCCAGCGCAGAGCACAGTGCTGGGGGCTGGGGTGTCCAACAGGAGTCCGTTCTCTGGCCCTTCCCTGCTTCCTCCAGTTTCCCAGAGCGCAGGGCTGCGATGCTCTGGTTCCCCCTCGGCAGTGTGGGGGGTACTGGCAGGTGGAGACCGGGAGCACAGCCGTTGTCGTGCGTTGCCCCGC